CATTAGTGACAGACTGAATTTCAGAGGTATTTTCAACTTCCTATGTTATATAAAACAGAGATTAATTGGTTGTACTACTTAATGTACCTATTAACGGCATGCCACCTCACACCTTAAATCATGTAATGCTATTGTCTTTTAGTGTTTGAAAATTAAGGAAATGTTTATGCCTGGACAAAGCAGACCAGGAAGTAGGTCCCAAGCCAAACTGCTTCTGCTTTTATGACTACAACTTAAACACTTTTGGGTTTAATTTTCACTAATATCTGAAGATAATAAAGGTGTTGCTCGTGAAAGAGGAAGGCGTCTGGTAAGTTGCTTAATTATACTTTGTGATGTTCTCTCCAAATGCACAAAAAAACTGCTTTCTCTAGGTAATTCCATTTGAAAGCAGGGTGACACAAACTTACCTTGATTATCCCTGAAATCTCCTAGCTCATATATTTCCCTTTCCCTATTTTAAGGTAGGAGGGGGAGGGGCTGGTTTTTTTTTTTCCTACCGAGTTACACACCGTCTGCTCTTTAAAATAATAATGGCCGTTGGCTGCATAATATTCCACTGTGTATATATACCACATCTTCTTTATCCATTCATCTGTCGATGGACATCTTGGCTCTTTCCACAGTTTGGCTATTGTGGACATTGCTGCTATAAACTTTGGGGTGCACGTACCCCTTCGGGTCCCTACATTTGTATCTTTGGGGTAAATACCCACTAGTGCCATTGCTGGATCGTATGGTAGCTCTATTTTCAACTTTTTGAGGAACCTCCATACTGTTTTCCAGAGTGGCTGCACCAGCTTGCACTCCCACCAACACTGTAGGAGGGTGCCCCTTTCTCCGCATCCCCGCCAACGTCTGTCGTTTCCTGACTTGTTAATTTTAGCCATTCTGACGGGTGTGAGGTGGTATCTCATTGAGGTTTTGATTTGGATCTCCCTGATGCCGAGTGATGTTGAGCACTTTTCATGTGTCTGTTGGCCATTTGGATGTCTTCTTTGGAAAAATGTCTCTTCATGACTTCTGCCCATTTCTTGATTGGATTCTTTGTTCTTTGGGTGTTGAGTTTGATAAGTTCTTTATAGATTTTGGATACTAGCCCTTTATCTGATATGTCGTTTGCAAATATCTTCTCCCATTCTGTCGGTTGTCTTTTGGTTTTTTGGACTGTTTCTTTTGCTGTGCAAAAGCTTTTTATCTTGATGAAATCCCAAGAGTTCATTTTTGCCCTTGCTTCCCTTGCCTTTGGCGATGTTTCCAGGAAGAAGTTGCTGCGGCTGAGGTCGAAGAGGTTGGTACCTGTGTTATGCTGAGTGAAATAAGTCAATCAGAGAAAGACATGTATCATATGACCTCACTGATATGAGGAATTCTTAATCTCAGGAAACAAACTGAGGGTTGCTGGAGTGGTGGGGGTGGGAGGGATGGGGTGGCTGGGTGATAGACATTGGGGAGGGTATGTGCTATGGTGAGCGCTGTGAATCGTGCAAGACTGTTGAATCACAGATCTGTACTTCTGAAACAAATAATGCAACATATGTTAAGAAAAATGAGAAAGAAGAAGATAGCAGGAGGGGAAGAATGAAGGGGAGTAAGTCAGAGGGGGAGACGAACCATGAGAGACGACGGACTCTGAAAAACAAACTGAGGGTTCTAGAGGGGAGGAGGTGGGGGATGGGTTAGCCTGGTGATGGGTATTAAAGAGGGCACGTTCTGCGTGGAGCACTGGGTGTTATGCACAAACAATGAATCATGGAACACTACATCAGGAATTAATGATCTAATGTATGGTGATTAACATAACAATAAAAAATCTGCAAAAAAAAATATGGCTGTCCCTGGAGTGAAAAGTGTTTCATAGCTGCCCTGAGGTACTGCTTGTCCAGTACTTCTTACTGTCAGCTGTTCTGTCTTTGCTCCCCTCTCTTCCTGCTTTCCTCAGTCCCTACTCCCTTTTTCTTCCTTCTTCCTCCCTTGCTTCCTCTCTCCTCCCCTTCTCTCTCCTTCCCTCCTCTCCTTCCTTCCTTGTTTTCTTCACTGGAACACAGTGAAAGAACACAGGTTTGGAGATTAGCCCTGAGTTGAGTCCTGCTGAAACCTCATACCTGTTAAGTAACCTTAGAAAACTGACTTTTTTTTTTTAAGATTTTCTTTATTTATCTGACAGAGAGAGACACAGTGAGAGAGGGAACACAAGCAGGGGGGAGTGGGAGAGGGAGAAGCAGGCTTCCCGCGGAGCAGGGAGCCTAGTGCGGGGCTCTATTCCAGGACCCGGAGATCATGACCTGAGCCGAAGGCAGACGCTTAACGACTGAGCCACCCAGGCGCCCCTCACTTACTTTTTTTTGAGTGTTATTTTTCTCATTCGAAAAATAGGGCTAATGACAATTTCCTCATGTAGCTAACGCGGGAGACAAATGAGTAAATGCATGGCACATTTGGCACATACTTGGCACATACTAATACTTACCTGGTAATAAATCATTTGGTACACATTTACTTATAGCCAGGGAAAGTTAATTTTATCTTCATAGCAGGGGCTGAATAAATGGTAGTTACTACTATGTGGACATTCTTTGGACATTTTAGTGTAATTTGCTTTTCATAGAACATGTTAATATTATTAAAATGAAATATTATATTTCCTCATTAAGGTCATTTCACTCACAGAGCACAAATCCTCACACTTTTATTTTTTATAGATTTGTTTATTTTAGAGAGACAGAGAACGCGAGCGTGAGCGAGCATGGGGGAGGGGCAGAGGGAGAGAGTCCCAAAGCTGACCCTCCACAGAGTGCAGAGCCCCACATGGGGTTTGATCCCTCAACCCCAAGATCATGAGCCAAGCCGAAATCAAGAGTTGGATGCTTAACTGACTGAGCCACCCAGGGGCCCCCAATCCTCACGTTCTTGATTAACATCACCTCGGGGCTGGTGCTCACATGTATCCTATAGGACGGTGGGAGAGCAAGGATGAACTAGGCAGCCAAAGTCTTCTGGCTCTGCCATTAGCTAGTCCTGGGCCCTTCGTAGAATCTTTCCTTTGGTGGGAGAAGGCACTGCATTCTCCAGTGGGATTTAAAAGGAGATTATATTATCTATCTTCCCAGGGCCACTTCCAGTGTGGGCCAGCTCCACCTGGGAAGCCAATACAGATGGTCCCCAACTTGTGATAGTTCGACGTAACGATTCTTTGACTTTCTGATGGTGTGAAAACAATATGCATTCATTAGAAACTGTATTTGGAATTTTGGAATTTGGGTCTTTTCCTGGGCTTGTGATATGTGGTATGATCCTCTCTTGTGATGCCGGGCCACAGCTGCAGCTCTCAGCCAGGCACATGATTGACAGGGTCAAAAACTGATACACTGACACCCATTTTGCGCCCAGACAACCATCTGTTTCTCACTTTCAGTACAGTATTCAGTAAATCACATGAGATATTCAACACTTTATTATCAAAGAGGCTTTGTGTTACATGGTTCTGCCCAACTGTAGGCTAATGTAAGTGTTCTGAGCACGTGTAAGGTAGGCCGGGCTAGGCTAGGATGCTGCGTAGGTTTCATGGTACATGCACTTTCGATTTATGACATTTTCAACTCAAGATGGTCTTGTGGGGACTTGACACCATCATTAGTTGAGGAAGATCTGTAGTCTGAAATGCGAGTGTGATCAATTTCTTCTGTGTTCTCTTTCACTTCTTTCTCTTCTTCCCAGCTGGCTTACCCGTGGTCTTGAACTCCGCTGGGATCTAAAGGAGAGAGGAAGCTTGATGGCGGAGATGAGAGGAGGGACAGAGAAGGTTGTTAGATGCTTTCATGATGTGTTTGTGGCTTTTCAGAGATCCTACCTGTCTCCTCCTGATGCTGGAGATCTCTTATCAGAAATTGCCTGGATCCTACTAACTGCATCTCCTCTGGCTCACTTTTGAGTTTTCCCTTGATCCCTGAAGTTTTGCCTCTCCTTCAGCTGGTTCTCTTAGACAACCCCAGACCAGCATCATTTGGTCCATGGGAAAAGTGGATGTTAGGCTACTCTTGAAGGTCTACTGGTGAATGGAATGGCATTAACTGCACACTGATAATTCTTATTAAACTCTTTATCTAATCTCTAACTTCCTTCATAGAAGGGGAGAGGGTGGTCATTTAAAAATTACATAACTGGCTTCTACCCCCTTACATGCAGGCCTTACTCACATGGTCTAGCTCTCAATTTTGGAATGTGGAAAGTGTTATCATTTGTTGTTTTAGGTCTTTGGACCCCAGATGAAAATAAAATAATAAACTCCTATTTTATAACTTATTCCATCCAGATCAAGTAACACCAGCTTTGTCATTTGTGTAGTTCTTGGCACCATTTCATAAAAAGTGTAAAATGTATATTTAAAAAAACCCCTAAAGATCCCTCTTAGCTTTTTCTCACTCCGTGTATTAAATGACTTTATTTGTAATTCATTATTTCTATTTAAATTTTAAATTATAAGTATTAGTTGACTTTCTAATGGATTTCATTTGATTGATGATTGATTCTTTTTTAAGATTTATTTTATTTTATTTATTTGACAGAGAGAGAGAGAGAGAGAGAGAGAGAGCATGCATAAGTTGGGGGGGGAGCAGCAGGCAGTGGGAGAGGGAGAAACAGGCTTCCTGCAGAGCAGGGATCCCAATGTGGGGCTTGATCCCAGGAACCTGGGATCATGACCTGAGTTGAAGGCAGTTGCTAAACCGACTGAGCCACCCAGGCACCCCTGTTCAGAGAGAGAGAGAGAGAGAGAGCACATGCGAGCATGTGTATAGGGGAGGGACAGAGGAAGAGGGGGAGGGAATCTCAAGCAGACTCCCTGCTGAGCGTGGGTTGATCTCATGACCCCAAGACATTGACCTGAGACAAAACCAAGAGTCGGACACTTAACCGACTAAGCCACCTAGACACCCCATTGATTACTGATTGACTCTAATGGACCTATTTCTTATCTGTCCTTTATGCTTATAGATTTTGAGATAAGGAGATGAGTCATCTGAGAGCGGACATTTGAAGAGACAGGCTCTGTGTCACATGAATCTGAGCATTGGAGCCCACTCCTTTTGGAGAGTCGGTAAAACATTCTGATAACGTGCTCTTTGCTTTATTCCTGCACAGCACTGAACTACAGAGCAGAGAGATGGGATAAATGCTGCAGGGATGGTCTGAGTGGCTGAAACCTGGTAGAGGCACTATGGAGGAAGTGTTTACTGTGCAGCTCAGAGCCAACAACAGCTCTGAGATCCTAACAAAGAAAACAAAGTAAACTCTCAATTAATAAATTACAGGAAGTCTTTCTCAAAGTACACATCTCATATACCCATTTGATCATAGGGTTGGCTTCACATATAAATAGCAATATATTTTTTAAGATTTAATCAAAAAGGCTTTAAAATGTAGTTCTCAAGAGTGGACAGTGACCTTAAAATTGGACTATCCAAATAAATCACATTCCACTGGCAAAGGATTATGCAAAAGAAGTTCTTGAACTTTCAAAGACTAATAAATTATATTGTACTTTATTGTGACATTTTAATCAACAATGAAGTTGATGTATTACAGTTAAGTGTTTCAAGCATTTTGAACAGAAAATTGTTTCATCTCCATCTCCTATTCATATACTGAACGTGGAGCATCTAGATATGAAATTCAACCAATGTAAAAAAAAACAGAGGAAACTTCTGATGCGCAGAGACACTTTATAAAATTCAGAAATATTTTATAAAGTACAAAAAAATCCAAGAGTGATGACCACCGCTTGCACCTCATTCTGGATGTTCCAAGCTGGACTTTTATCAAAGCCTCTAGGGTTGATTTAAAGAGAAAATGCTGCTTCTAATTCTGTAATAATCTCTGCTTTGGCTCTGGAGTATTAGTCTGTTCTGGAAGCTAGAATGACAATTGGTAGTGTGCTTTGAAAAATGGGAGGAGTTATAGGTCTTTTATTACATGATTATGTTCTCTACTTTCCCATCTAATTTGCTATAAGGTAATTCAACCTGTATTTTCCCATCTCTTAATGAGAATAAATAGCTGCACAGTCCATTTTAGGGGCTTTAATTGTTTCCTAGACATTGCAGATCTTTTCCAATAGTGCTTATGATGCTTGAGAGAATGTTCCCATTCCAGCAGAGTTTCTGCCAATCTGACTTTTTGAATAAACTCTAATGGTACTATTGTTGAGCAGACCATTATGAAGATGCTATCAAAGTCTTAGAAGTGAATTACAGGCAATAGGCAATAGGATAGTGCTAGGGTGGGAAGAAGGAAGAGACAGCCTGCAACACTACTGACCAAATCTTTCATGTTCTTAACTATAATGAAGCAGAGTTGTTACTTTTTAAAATTGCTATAGTTAGAAGCAACAATCAAACTACTAAATCTTCACCTCATGACAATTTTGTGATCTCTGTATGGGACAGAGCATTCATTTCCTCCATTTGGCTTAATAGTTTGTAGCATATTTCCTTGATAAAATGTCTGTTCTTCTCTCCTTTTATCATTTCCTTTGTGGTCACTGGAAAAATCTTCCACAGAAGAAAAGTGCACCTCAAAACTCTATCTATCTATCATCTATCTATCTATCTATCTATCTATCTATCTATCTATCTATCATCAATCAAGTATTCCCTGTGAACTACCAGGAATGTGCCGAGTGCTAACCATGAAGCATGCTGGGAGTCATGAAGAAATAATTTAAGAGGAAGAAATGGTTAATGCAGAGAAATGTGGATAGGAAGAAAGATAGAGATACAGTTGGATGAAATAGGAGAATGAAAAATCTGAGCTCTGAAATTGAGACCAAAGGAGTGTGAACAATACCACCAGCACATTTCCCTGGAGCCCATGATTTTGAACAGTGGAAGACTATTCTGAAAATTGGTGATGAAATATATGTGTGGTTGGTTTCAGGAGCCATGCGGATCCCTTACAATAGCTGAGTAATGATCAGGAAAGGGCAATACTATATTCAATAGTATTTCACAACGAGGCTAAATTTTCGTGTATTCTCTTTGCAGTTAAAAACAAAACACCAACTAGAAAAGTTCTGCAAAAATTTTGATTTTTTGGCAATAGGGAGAGCTGGGAAGTTCCCCTGCCTGCCTTAGTGAAGAATGGATAAAATCCAGGGCAAGATCCGTTATGGTGTTATGGTGCTGCAGAGAAGATGAGGGGTACTTGGTGGGGCGAGTGTAAATACCCATGCTTTCACTGTGCTTAGTGGGTCTTGCCTCTCTGCTTGGCTTGACTTTTGGGATGACCGTCTAACTACTAGCATCCAGCCCTAACCCCTCACGTCTGACTATACCCCTACCCTTCCACTGGTGTAGTGTGTACACACTTGCTCGCTTCCATCTAGAGAGTTCTCTCTGTCTCAAGTCCCAGAAAACCCGTGATGGGTTGTTTTGGCCAATTTAGTTCAAACTATTAGTGCAATTTTTTAAAAAATTCTTTTGCTAGTCATTTGACTGTTGTATTAGTGTGTGTGTGTGTGTGTGTGTGTGTGTGTGTGTGTGTGTGTATACACTCACACATCTGTGTATGCAGAATTGGCTTACATAATGATGGGTGTTGGGTAAGTAGCCCTTTGTAGTCTATCACCATGTCTGGGGTTGGAGACTGAAGCTCAGGGCAGACAGTCAGGAAGGAAGGGAGTGAAGGGGCTGGAATCCCATGAGCACAAGCTGAAACACCACGGACTGAACGGATTGAAAGCCATGCTCATTCTTGCTCCCTCTGATGTTGGTGACAAAAGTATCCTGCAAAAGCTGGGACCCTTCTTCATGGAGCTGAGACACACGCTTGGCTCAGCCGCTGCTTTAAACAGAGGGGGTGATTCAGCAGATCAGAAACAGCACATATAGGCTACAAAGGGCTGTTGCCTCCCTTCTGCCCTGTGGCCCAGAAACATACAAGAAAGGGAGTTCTGGGGAGTGTAGTTACACCTAAGCAAGTTGGCACATTGAAAGGTAACTACACTTGTAATGTCTGTGATGATGGAGGTGGTAAGAGTGATATTGACAGCAGCTGACATTTATTGAATGAATGCCTTCCATTTGTTAGGCGCTGGGCTAAGCTTCTCTGATTATTTCATCAGATCCTGAGTACAATCCTGTGAAGCAGGTTCTATTATCTCCCTCACAGATAAAAGCCTGAGACACAGGGAGAGTCCATAATTTGCCAAATTGCTCAGCTAACAAGTGGCAAAGCCACGATTGGGAGCCCAGGTGGTTTTTAAACAACTGTTTTCTAAAATATCATCTGCTAGCATAAGTTTCTTTAAACGGTTAATTTTCACACTTATTAAAATGTCAGCATTGTACTGAAAGGGAAGAGTGTGGAGTGTGTGTGTGTGTGTGTGTGTGTGTGTTTAAGCATTGACTAGGAAAAATAGTCACAGAGCCACTTGTCTTCACAAACAAGATTAGTAAATTCAGAAGACTGAAATTTGACAACTAGTTAAGTAATTTATCCCAAGATAACTAGTGTACCTCTGGTACAAAAGGGTTTCCTAATTTTCTTCCATCTCACTACAGATGTAAAGATTCTAGTACACTTTAAAGGTGCCATTTGTATAAAATTAACTACATCCATGACGTCCTGCAACACGTACTTCTTTTCTGCCATTTGCTTGCTTATGAATAATGCAGTGAAGAAAATTCACTTGTGGTGCCAGACTCACTCTGGAATTCTCTCTTTTTTCCAGCCAGAGCAGCTGTTCTATCAATGGTTGTTTACAATTTTTTTTCCATAAAACATTGTTTTTTATCGAAGAAATATTTAGTATTGAGACTATATCTTTTCTGGTATTTCTATTGGCACACAAAAAGTAGCTTTTCAATGTGTTTTGTTATTGAAATAGAATCTATAATATACCAAAATGCCGTAAGTTTGATGCATTAGCAACATCTGTATTTTCATCCAACTGTGTAACAGTTTTACCACACTATTTTTCCTAACATTGTTTTTTTAATTTTTCAGTAATGTTTTCCATGTCTTCGAGCGTATTTGCTGACAAAGGAGTGCATTTTATTTTGCTATTAAATTGTCTTTCAAGTATAATTTCAGTCATTTTTAATGCATCCAAAAGTGTTCTTTTGTGTTTCCCAAATTTGTAGGGCTTTGTCTTTTATTTTTAAGTAAGGAACCTCCAGAAGAACTTCTCAGCATTTGCCACTAAAGCTCAGTGAAATTTTGTAAGATACTGTATTATCATTTGCTGAAAAATGGAAGAGGTGTTTTTATGTTCTTAATACTTATTTTTAAGATGAATTACCGATTATTAGCCAATAGGTCACACTATACACTTAGAATCATATTGTCAATGATAAATGATTTCCTTGATACAATTTTTTGGTTTCATTTTTACCAAAATAATTTCTAATTATTTCAATGTTGTTATTAAACTCATAAAAACAGAGAGCTCATACTAGGACAATAGAGTGATCACATCTAATTTTTTTTGTTCTTAAATTATGCTTGCATTATTAATACTATCTTCAATTTTGATTTCTTTGCAGGCATCTTTTAGAACCAACTTCCCTTTTCTTTTGGTTTAATTTAAAACTAGGAAATATAATCTATAACTCCACAAATTTGAACCAGTAGAAATGGTCGTATATTCATGACAAGCTGTGGTGGGGGGTTGGGGGAGCCTTCCATTTTCATTCCATTTAGTAAACATTAGAATTTATTTTTCCCCATAACTTTTAGATGCTATAGAGGATGCAACAGAGATGAAGGTCCATGCCTAGGAGAAGGGGGCCAAGGAAGCTGCCAAGCCTGCATTACTCCTCAGGCTTTAGCTTTTGCAGAGACTATTCAGTGACACTCAGCCATCAAACTGGTCACGTGAGGCAAAAGTTTCATAACAAACAAGATGTACATTTGCCCCACCTCTCTATACAGTTAACTCTCCATTAATTCCCACGGCAGGACTGAGGAGCTCAAATGGGACGAGATAAGATTCAGAAATCCAAACATATTGCCTCTATACCTTCAGTCATTTTGATTCTTGGATAAAGTGATCAACGAAAGTGGAACATTCCTGGCAGGAAGGTAAGTTTCAATGAAATCACTGTGTAAAAACGCAGGGCTTTTGTATATTTTCATCTAAGTATACGGTTCCTGCACATTTGATTTCATTCAATAGGATTCCTTAATTTATTCTATATTTCTGTAAAGGGGATACTAGAATGCCAATCTCAAACAACTTGGGACACAACTAGTAACTGTTAGAGTCTCAAAATTCCCCTTTTGAAGATTATGTTGGCTACTGACACAAAGTTGGGGTGAGTTACTAACACATACTGAATGGAGTTCATGGAAGAAAAATAGAGAATTAATAGTGTTTCAGGACATATTTACTGTGAAAACAGTCAGGAGTGACTAGTTTGTCTATAGCCTTATTTCAGTGACATTCTGTGTAGTATGTACTTCTCTACCCAGTTACAACATGTAAAATGTGAGTTGAAAAAGGACTTTGAGATTTGGACTCTGGGGAACAGATATTTTATTAGTATCAGTGAAGTTGTATGGGATGGAATTCAGAATTAAAAATGGTGGTTCAGTCACTCAGATCATGGAAGAACTGTTTGGCAGGGTCTGACCTAAGCCTTGTGGCTCAACCAAGATGAACATGGATACATTGTACAAAGAACCCGTGAAGGAGAAGACAGAGTGATCTTGGATGTCCAAAATGTCTACACTGCACAGAACATTACAGATATCAGTGAATATTTCAGGAGACTCAATAAAGACATGAAAACAAGTGTTATTCTAGGAAAATTATTTAACTTACATGCCAGATGAACAAACTGATAACATTAATAACAGTGCACAAGGGAGGTGGGGCAAATTCTCAGATTGTACTCTTTAGGCATTAGGATCACTTCTTGGCTAAATGTAGAGAATCAGGGAAAATCTTGGTGGATCTTAAAAATTTTGTTTCCTATAAGGTAGACCATTGTTTCTCAACATATAAATATACAACACCCACACCAGATCTTACAGTATATACTTTTTAGTTCAGGTTCTTGGGCATTCCCAAGATTTAATAAATTATGCATGTGGCATTGAAGTTTCTGATTTTTAAAACCAGGCATTCTAGGTGCTACTTGGTGTTACTTATACACACATAAAGCTTGAGAACTGCAAAGATGTAGGAAATTGGCTGACCTTGATTCTCTGAATGCAGTCTAACAGAAATTAGTCAGGGAACTTCAGGAAACTGAAGTCAAGGAAGAAGAAATTGAGAATAACCAGAGTATTTTGCTTTCCTATATGACAGCAGATTTCAAAAGCTTAAGTAAAATGTTAGCTCCATTTCAATGCCCAGGTCTTTGGAGAAGAACTGCCTGAGATAGTTGAGCTTCTCTTGCCATGCAATTCAGCATGCAATTACTCAACTTCCACATGATGAGTACGGTGTGGTACCTAAAGATACCAGTGTGTTTGTCTGTGCAGGAGCTTGCTGAGCTCCAGTTTCTCAAAGGATGGGTACAAGATTGAGAAGAGGTTATGAGATTCTCTATTCAAGGTTGGAGAGAAGATGCTGGTACAGAACCGTAGGGTATAAGGAAGGTTGTGTCCGGAAATGAGCTGAGGCCAAAATGTGAACCACACACAAATTTATTTACTTACCTGTTTATCTCTGTAGTTTTTTTTTTCATTTTACAAAGATGAGAAAGGTCTTGCTATTAGGGTTTATGTTGAAATGATAAGGGTTGACCTCTTTAACTGCTGTTCTGTTTCTATGTTCTAAGTTATTTTCACACACAAAGAAAGGCGTTGAAAGGACTTAGAATCCTATGGAGAGAAGACCATTTTTCCCCAAACTGAAATGCATTGGAACTTGGCACTGTCACTCACTAGTTGTGGGACTTTAGGAAGTTACTTACTTCTTTGGGCATTATTCTATTCTTCTGATCTTAAAAATGGGGAGAAAAACATTTGACTCATAGATTTGTTATGGACAATAAAGAAATAATAAACCTCATGTGCAGTTACACAAAATGTTATTTTTCAAAAAAGTTGGGTTTTTGGCTCAAATTTCTTCTTACTCTACGAAAGGCATTTGCAAATGAAACTGGAAATTACTGAATCAGGGGGGTCATTTTTGAAACACCTGGAAAACAGGAAAAGACATGTGGAAACATGTCAAGACAACACTATTTTAATTTTTTTATGGAAGACCATGTCAGATTTAGAAAAGTAAAAATTACTTTGTTTAACATTGATATTTGGCAAGATTTTTATGCATATTATTTGAAAAATGGAATGTTTGCATGTATAGGAGACATACATTGATGCACAATAGATCCAGACAGGAATTCACTATCAATAAGTCACATCAGATTGGCTGAATTTCTTTTGCTGACAAGGTTATCGAATGCATAGATCAAGGAATTTTGTTGGATGGAAGTATATGACGAAATTTACATCTCAGTTTCTTTGTGTTCAAAAACTAAATGCCTATAGCTATAATTGTTGAATTAGGAATGGATTGAATATTGATCCTTTCTCATGTGTTAGAAGATAAAGAGGCATATTAAAAAATTTAAGAGTTTACTTGAGCAAAAATCAAATCGGGCAGCATCCAATCTAGGATAACAGGGAGGAGCTCTAAGGAGTTGCACAAAATGAAAGACTTTTATAGGCAGAAGGGAGTGGGAACAAGGAAGTTATACTAGGCAGAAATGTGGGTTGGTTATTACAAAATTATATATGTATATTTTTAGGGGATAGCAGGGTGCTAACTAGTGTTGATCAGATGAGTCCTGATGACTGGTTTAAGATTCCATTTCTGAGAGAGCAAAAAATGTAATTAAGTCTCGGTTTGGTGATATGGCGTAAGCAACTGCACATTGGGCATGTTGTCTTGTTTTTAAGAGTTTTTCCCTTTTGATCAGACTCTAAGACTGAGAGATGGTATCAAAATTTAAGGCATTAGGGCTACTCCCAGCTACCTATCTGGAGTTTTTTGCTGAATCACTGTGTGGTATTCACAGGTCAATGACAAGAAGTTCACTTTTTTTTTTTTTTTTAAGATTTTAGTTATTTATTTGTCAGAGAGAGCACAAGCAGGGGGGAGCGGTAGGCAGAGGGAGAAGCCGACTCCCCACTGAGCAGAGAGCCCGATGCGGGGCTCGATTCCTAGGACCCTGGGATCATGACCTGAGCCGAAGGTAGATGCTTAACTGACTGAGCCGCCCAGGCGCCCCAAGAAGTTCACATTCTTTAAATTGGTTATTCTCTTCTTCCTTCTGGGTTGTTACCAACTTAGGGAGATCATTTCTAGGTAGTTAGCTGTAAACATGAAGTTAAAGCTCTTGAGAGAACACAGGGCACCAGGGAGATTACTGTGATTATTATAAGTAGGATAATTTCTAGTGTCTTGAGTGCACTTCAGAGGCATGGTTCCCAAGACCCAAACCAATCAGAATCAAATAAGTCAAAGACTCCCTGGAAGGAGCCACTTCTTAAAGCCCACCGGCTTGTTCAGCAATCTTAGGTAGCCAAGTCTTAACTTCTCCAGAAGTGTCAATCCAAAATGCAACAGGTGGTGTTGGAATCATACAGACACCTCCCTGCTCAGGTAAAAGATAATCAGAGCTATCTTATCATCAAGAACAACTTCGTCCAGAGGATGTAGGGATTTTTGTTGCGCGGTCAAAGCATTAGCAGCAGGTTCTACAGTATCTTCAGTAGTGATCTGCCGAAGGAAGCTAAGTGTGAATCATGAATGCCCCCTGGTAATTCCTGTTTGAGGAAACAAAGAGCCACTCCCAAAGATAACCAAAAAGAAAAAAAAAAAAAAAAGACTCAGACAATTCCCCCAAGAGCTGGCACAGTCAGTCAGGAGGATGAGAGCCACAAATGGGGTGCAACCCACATTTCTGTCTGGCCACATTTTGGGGGCCTCCAGCCTGACAGTTAGCAGGCCAAATTCTCAGGTCACAAAATGAGGGAACAAGGATAGCTTTCTCTGGGAAAGAAAGGATCGACAATCAATGGGTACCTGAAGGCAAATTCACAAGTCACCATTCAAAGATCTAATTCTTACATTTTTTTTTTTTTTCCTGCTGATCTGAGTTTGGAAAGGAAGGGAAGTGTGAAATTTTACCTTCTTCTTTCCCCCAGGCACCACAGATAGAGATCTGGGAGGGCTGACTCTGGCAAAAATTCTTACCCTTTGCTGGCTTCTGCCAGTTCCCCCAGGATTCGTCTGCAGTCTCCAGAGCAAGTCGGCTGTCCCAGCAGGTCCCATCCTGGTCACCGGAAACCGTAGTGGAGGACGAATAACTTTTCCTCCATCCTTCGCGGTGAGTGCTGCGTTGGGGCCCCTTCTCTAGGACACCTCCTAAGGGGGATGCGCTTATCTAAGATGCTTAAAACCTCTCCGCTGTGCCCACTGAACTCAAGATTATCTTTGATAAATTAACCTGTTTGGTGAGCCTCATCACAGAATCCTACTTACCTGAGGCCTCGCCACCCCCAGGTCCAACCCGGGACCGGCCTGGTTTTTAAGTGGCATCCGGTCCAGTTTTCAAGTCGGGGCTGGTGGCTTCTGGCAGTTTCGGAGCCCGTCGGGAGAAGGGAAGGCTGGAAGTGTGCAGGCTCCTGACGGGGAAGCTGAGGAGCCAGGATCCCAAGGGGGGCTCCCCCTGCCCAGCGGCGGGAAAGCTGCAGGCGCTCCAGGGGCTCAGCAGGTACCTGTGGGCTGGGGCTCGCTCCTTTCTCCTGGGGGGCTGCTGGGGGCTTCCTTCTGATACCAGAACTGTTATAAACTGAGAAATATTTAAAAAATGTAACAACTTACTGAGCGAAGTCGAATCAAGTCGGGCGGAGTACAGCCTAGCAGATGAAAAGAGCTCTGAGGAGCTGTGCAAGATGGAGACTTTTATAGACAGAAGGGAGTGGGAACGAGGAAGTTATTCCAGGCCAAAAAAAAACACAAAAAACAGGTTGCTTATTGCCAAGTTCCTTTCCTTCAGGGGCTGGCGGGGGCCTAGGGAGTTTGGTGATGTAGGGCTTAGTTGCATAAGCAACTCTGACTTGGGCCTGCTGTCTTGCTTTTAACACATGCGGTTAATTTTCCTCAAACTTTATGGATTGCCCCTTGAAATTTGTTACCGTGAAAGCTTAGGTTGATGAGTGGAGTTGGCTAAGGACCATTTGGGTGTGTTTTGAAAGTGGGTGTGCATGGAACACAGAGCCAGGCTGTGGGTCCCCAAGACGGCCAAAGTAAAGGCCTCTCTAATCTGCAGGGGGGGCGCTAACTTGCATTTTATTCCTGGGGAAAGTTGCCTTCTACATCTTTGTTATGTATTTTTTAGCATCTGATATAAAGTCCAGACTTTCCTCAAGCTTTGCTCTTTTATTTTGGACTTTACAACCTGTACTAGTCTGCTACCTAGACAAGACACTTTGTTTGGAGCACGGTTCTCCGGTTTTATTCAAAAAGTTAGTTTCTCTCTACACATAACCTGGGAATGAGGAGAGCCAGGTTATACCTGGCTAGCTGTTACAAGTAAAAAATTTTATTTTTTTTAAGATTTTATTTATTTATTTGAGAGAGAGAATGAGAGATAGAGAGCACGAGAGGGAAGAGGGTCGGAGGGAGAAGCAGACTCCCCGCTGAGCAGGGAGCCCGATGTGGGACTCGATCCCGGGGCCTCCAGGATCATGACCTGAGCCGAAGGCAGTCGCTTAACCAACTGAGCCACCCAGGCGCCCTACAAGTAAAAAAATTTAATTACCCTGCCCATGGTCCCCACAAATGGGACAAGGTAGTACCCACCTAGCCAGCTGTCGTGAATAAAGGTTTTCGGTAATTTGCCTGTGGTCCCAAGGTTCACACCTGCCCCTTATATTTGTTGCCTCTCAAGTGGGTTGAGCGCTTTTTGCTCTCTTGGGTGAGTGTTTCTCCAGGTTTTTAGTTTTCTATCAGTTTGTTTTCTGTTTTCCTGGACTGCTAATTCTGTGTCATGTTTTCCAGTCTTACGATTATCTGCTTCCCTTCATATTTGCTTTTTGTTCCTTCAGCGGGACCTCATGAGATACGGAAGGTACATAGACCTTGGGTCTTTGGGTCACCATATTTATGTAGTAGCTTTATGGAAAAAACAGACCCAAAACAGCAATCTCAGTCATGCTGATGCAGTTTTAAGAAATGCTGGTACAGCATTTTAGACTTTAGAGAAATATTTACCTACTGGAACATTGTGAAATAAGTGTTATCCCAATTTTAGAGATGAGGAAATAAAATTTAAAATAGGTCAGTTGCTTGGCCTCACCTAGTGAATGGAAGAGCTGGGAGCTGCCGCAAGTCTTGTGATTCCAAAGGCAAAGTTGTAAGTCATAAAAGCGTTACAGAATATTGGAGGAATTAAAAAAAAATTTTAATGCACCAATGCATTTGTTGTCTTTGTTTTTCCATCCAGAATTTTGCTATGTGTTTTCACATAGTTGTGTCAAAAGCTCAGAAATGAAAGTAAAACCACTGAATGACCAAGGTAGCAGTTAGTAAAAGTTGATTGCACATTCAAAGATGTTTGTGGTTGGGGGGAGGGGGGCCGGCATTCGCACCAAACATGGAACGGGACTCAGGTGTATTGTTAGAAAGCCTCTTACAGAGGAGGAAGTGATTGTTGATTCTTCAGTGTTTGGTTATATTAGAATACCCTTGATAGTGAATTGTCCAGTGGTTACTTCATATCACTTCTGGGGAATAAAGTAAGTTTTGCTTAGGATTTATAGAGGAATTAAGCAACTCAGGTTAAGTCTCACTTATCTTGAAAAATAAGGTAAATTACGTTTTTCTTGTATGACTAAAGTGGTTTTGTCTGCTTAGGGAATTTACGTCTGGGTTGTGTTCGTGTTTGAGGTTTAACAGTTGTAATAATAGTGGGTATCCATCTTTAAAAAGTACTTAAGTTTCATTTTTACCAAAAATGATATTAAAAATAATGCTGTTACACACATCTTTATGCATTTGCTTTCAACATTTCCCGAGGACAAATTCCCCAAAATGGAAATTTCAATTCAGGAATTTAGAGGTATACATATTTATGCTTCCTATTACATTTTTACAAACTGATTTTCAATTTTTTTTCCAATTCTTGTCACTCTCCTCAGCCTGTTTGTGGCCTTCTCATTTTATATACAGTTAAAAGCCATTTTCACTGAACTGACTTGTGCTGCCAAAGTACAAAATGGGGAGAGGAGGCTTAGCGACTACCAACATTGAAAAAACAAAATGGCTTTAACTGCAAACCTAATAAGAGGAAAGGTGCTTAAAAGCTAGCAGAAAGATAGGATCTTAATCTAACAAAATAGGGGTTAATTTTGGTAGTCTGAGCCCTTAATTTGTTAAACCATAACTGGTACATCGAGCTCAGTGCATGGTTTATAATAGTTAACTCATTATGTAAAAAAAAAAATGTACTCTCAGATCCAAATGGTATTGTTTTAAAAATGATTTCCTATTAGGTGAATGACATGGGTACCAAAGGGTTTAAAGTTTTGGTAATTTAAGAACTGTTAAAAAAAAAAAAGTTGGCAGAGGAGGAAAGAAAACCTAACTCTCCAAAACAAAACCCCAAAAAACAACAAAACAAACCAAACCCCACCAATCTGTCACAGGTGATAGTACTAGAAGCAACACAGGTTGAAATTTAAATGATTTGAAGTCAATATGAGGAAGAACTTTCTAACTAAGCCGACCAAATAGAAAATGTGCAATGAGCACTTAATGCATTTTTGGTCACTTAGAAATTCTATGGAGTTTTTGATTAGAAGTTGAATTTGGTAAACTTATTTTTAACTGTGCTGTCCTTTGATGTTACAATTTAAACCTAACACGGGTTATTCTAGGTTGGAATCACATGTCTGTGTGCAACATAAATAACTGATCCAATACGTGATTAAAAACAATACTGTTTTGCAAAATTATATTTCAATAATGTCAGTTGGATTTGTCTGAAACTATAAAATGGAAGGACTTACAAACTTTCATTGTGTTATTAAAAACTAATCCAAGGGATTTAGTTTTGGATTTTCTAGAATGAGGAAAAATGGAAAAATTGTTTTGGGAAGACCCCTTTTGAATTGTTAATTTGTCCTAAAAAGTTATTTCCACATAATTGGTTAATTATCTCTCAATACGTGTTATTTATGAATTGCTTTTTTGAGAAATCCTAATGGAGTTTTTATTCAGGAAAGATTTCAGGGAAGTGTTCCAATTTTTTTTTTTTTCTAGAGAAAATCCTCTTTGTATTAAGTCTATTTTATGGTTGATTAAGAATAGTTCTATTGTAGCTCATTCACCTCATTTATTTTGATGGTAGATTATTTTATTTGCTATTCACATGGGAAATGAATTATTAAAATAGAAAATCAGTAAAGTGTGCATATAGTTTTTTAAAACCCTAGGTAGGAATGGAGAAAGTGGGATTGATGTTTCTTTAGTAGGCAGGCCAGAGTCAAGGGAACCAAATATTATTAATATCTGTTCTAAAGTTTACTGCACTTTGAGTAACTGACTTTGAAAAATGACTCTCGGGTGTTTGGAATGTGTTATGTCTGAACAGATGCGGCCATGAAGGCACAGGTGGAAAGTTCATGGTACTTATCAGTAAGAAAGCAAATTCAGTTCTAGTGGCCCTAGACATCACATAAAACAAAGTGATGGATTTATTTTTATTATGGATCACTTTATAGTAAATAAATGCTTCCATTTCCCTGTAATCCTTTAGGCATATAAATTGAAAAGTCCTAAACCAATGGAATAGACCATACACGGAAGCAACCCACCTAATTACAGAGTCCTCTCAAACTGGGGGTCTCCAGTAGATTCCTAAGACATTGGCTAAATAAGAACAGCATAGATGGGAACGGATTTTTGATGGTGATAACAATAGTCTCCTCAAAATTTTGCTCACCTATATTTTTCCTAGTGACAGTGTCTAATTCCACTCCATATAATTTATGGTTGCCAACAACAAGACTGCAATACTTTAACTCCATCCTTAGCACAAGCATATTGTTTTCCATTCTTTTCTCTCATGAATCCTTTTTTCCTTAAAAAAAAAAAAAGATTTTACACCTATCTTGTCAGGTGGTGGTTTTGTTGCAAATTAATTGTTGAAAGCCCTAAGTTGCTAAATCTTCAGGTGGAGTAAAACAAGAGC